CGAAGTGTCCGGCACCAGCACTTCCAGCAGCCACATAGAGCAGATGTTGTTGGAGCTGAAGGCCCAGGAAGAGAAGAACCAGCTGTCTCTGGATGCTCTACGAGACCAAGTCACTCTCATCCAATCAGAGGCCAGGTACAGTGTGCGGGCGACCCGCTGCCAGCCAATCGCCAGCCAAGTATCACTGATACCAGATCCATCGTTTGTCGCCAAGGCTCTGTCTGTGGATTCCTCACGGCCAATCACAACAGAGACATGGATTCCTCTCACTGACATGTCCATCCTCTGTCTTCAGTACTCGGCGAGCCGCTGACCAGTTTTATTTACCTGATACGTGTTCTGACTGAGTACTGAAGACAGAGGATGAGCATGGCGGAGTATTACATACAAGTCAGCAGTGGCGGGATCCATGTCCCGTGATAACAGACGGAAGTGTCTCATGTTCCGATTTCATCATTTTAGGGCAAAAACGGAGAGAACGCCAAAAGAGCCGCCGGCCAGCCAATCAGTGACCAAGGAGAAGTCACCTCTGACCTTCCTGCCATTTCCTGTGCGCGGGGGCAGCTTGTCCTCCGAGATCAGGTACACCCGATGCGGCCTCTTCATGGCATCGGTCCTCAGACCCTGGCTCCGCCTACTTTCCCATTCCCCACCCATTATCCTCCACTACTGTCCTCTGTCCTCCCATAATCCTCCGCTACTGTCCTCTGTCCTCCCATAATCCTCCACTACTGTCCTCTGTCCTCCCATAATCCTCCACTACTGTCCTCTGTCCTCCCATAATCCTCCACTACTGTCCTCTGTCCTCCCATAATCCTCCACTACTGTCCTCTGTCCTCCCATAATCCTCCACTACTGTCCTCTGTCCTCCCATAATCCTCCTCTACTGTCCTCTGTCCTCCCATAATCCTCCTCTACTGTCCTCTGTCCTCCCATAATCCTCCTCTACTGTCCTCTGTCCTCCCATAATCCTCCGCTACTGTCCTCTGTCCTCCCATAATCCTCCCCTACTGTCCTCTGTCCTCCCATAATCCTCCTCTACTTTCTTCAGTCCTCCCATCATTGGAAACAATGGTAGGAGGGGCCTAAGGAGGTGGCCACGAAAATACCTGATTAGTAGGATAAGCTCCGCCTTCACTTGCGTACTTTGTGGACCAATCAGGAAGAGAGTTTTGAATCATCTTTTATCTGTGTTCTGTTCTCTGTGATCTCCTTCTACAGCGCCCTGCAGCTGGCGTACGTGCAGAGCGGGGGGAGCGAGCCGGTAGTCCTGGCGCAGATGAGGGACCTGCAGGCCGAGGTGTTGGCGTTCGAAGAAATGACGTACAAACAGGAGCGCAATGAGAAGAAAAAGAGGCGTAAGTCCCTAAGCTCCTCCCCCATCTCTGTGCTGAGTTCCCAGGTCTGTACACCCGCTGTGCCCATTATGCGGGGCTCCCACCATCCCTGAGCTGAGTTCCCGGGTCTGTCAACCCGCTGTGCCCATTATGAGGGGCTCCCGCCATCCCTGAGCTGAGTTCCCGGGTCTGTCAACCCGCTGTGCCCATTATGAGGGGCTCCCGCCATCCCTGAGCTGAGTTCCCGGGTCTGTCAACCCGCTGTGCCCATTATGAGGGGCTCCCGCCATCCCTGAGCTGAGTTCCCGGGTCTGTCAACCCGCTGTGCCCATTATGAGGGGCTCCCGCCATCCCTGAGCTGAGTTCCCGGGTCTGTCAACCCGCTGTGCCCATTATGAGGGGCTCCCGCCATCCCTGAGCTGAGTTCCCGGGTCTGTCAACCCGCTGTGCCCATTATGAGGGGCTCCCGCCATCCCTGAGCTGAGTTCCCGGGTCTGTCAACCCGCTGTGCCCATTATGAGGGGCTCCCGCCATCCCTGAGCTGAGTTCCCGGGTCTGTCAACCCGCTGTGCCCATTATGAGGGGCTCCCGCCATCCCTGAGCTGAGTTCCCGGGTCTGTCAACCCGCTGTGCCCATTATGAGGGGCTCCCGCCATCCCTGAGCTGAGTTCCCGGGTCTGTCAACCCGCTGTGCCCATTATGAGGGGCTCCCGCCATCCCTGAGCTGAGTTCCCGGGTCTGTCAACCCGCTGTGCCCATTATGAGGGGCTCCCGCCATCCCTGAGCTGAGTTCCCGGGTCTGTCAACCCGCTGTGCCCATTATGAGGGGCTCCCGCCATCCCTGAGCTGAGTTCCCGGGTCTGTCAACCCGCTGTGCCCATTATGAGGGGCTCCCGCCATCCCTGAGCTGAGTTCCCGGGTCTGTCAACCCGCTGTGCCCATTATGAGGGGCTCCCGCCATCCCTGAGCTGAGTTCCCGGGTCTGTCAACCCGCTGTGCCCATTATGAGGGGCTCCCGCCATCCCTGAGCTGAGTTCCCGGGTCTGTCAACCCGCTGTGCCCATTATGAGGGGCTCCCGCCATCCCTGAGCTGAGTTCCCGGGTCTGTCAACCCGCTGTGCCCATTATGAGGGGCTCCCGCCATCCCTGAGCTGAGTTCCCGGGTCTGTCAACCCGCTGTGCCCATTATGAGGGGCTCCCGCCATCCCTGAGCTGAGTTCCCGGGTCTGTCAACCCGCTGTGCCCATTATGAGGGGCTCCCGCCATCCCTGAGCTGAGTTCCCGGGTCTGTCAACCCGCTGTGCCCATTATGAGGGGCTCCCGCCATCCCTGAGCTGAGTTCCCGGGTCTGTCAACCCGCTGTGCCCATTATGAGGGGCTCCCGCCATCCCTGAGCTGAGTTCCCGGGTCTGTCAACCCGCTGTGCCCATTATGAGGGGCTCCCGCCATCCCTGAGCTGAGTTCCCGGGTCTGTCAACCCGCTGTGCCCATTATGAGGGGCTCCCCCCATCCCTGTGCTGAGTTCCCGGGTCTGTACCCCCGCTGTGCCCATTATGAGGGGCCCCCACTATATATTTCACCTGTCTGTATAACACAATGAAAGGAATGTGACATCATTCACTCAGATATATGTATTGCTTTCCATCAGGTCATGATGTGGCCCCTCGGGCCCCGGACGTGGAGCTGATGGCGGTGGAGATGGAGAATCAGCGCCTAGAGGAGGAAATCTTCAACCTGAAGCTGCACAGAAGCCGGAAGAAGGTGGACAGAGGTAGGTGGATTGGTGGCGGCTCAGCCATGATCAGAGGGTGACCTTTAGGGGTTCGTCCAATGGAGAAGCAGTTCTGGGTATCCGCCTTTTCCCTCATTGGATGTTTGAGAGATCACACGGCCTCCGCTGAGTCAGGACGCCGGCCCCTGAGAAATTCTGGGTATTGTTTTTTTTACCGTATTATCACCCCCGAGTCCTGCACCTCACAGATTAGGATGTTTCTATATTTCCCCCTCAGCAAAAATACTGGTTCCTGCTCACACACTGCAGTGCTCTGCCCTGGTCAGAGCTGAGTAACAGCCACGCCCCATGTCACAAGTGTCCTCATGCAGACTGGTGTTGTAAATAATAAGGCAGACCAGAAAGGGAGGAGGCGTGTCAGACCAGAGAGGGAGGGGGCGTGTCAGACCAGAGAGGGAGGGGACGTGTCAGACCAGAGAGGGAGGGGGCGTGTCAGACCAGAGAGGGAGGGGGCGTGTCAGACCAGAGAGGAAGGGGACGTGTCAGACCAGAGAGGGAGGGGGCGTGTCAGACCAGAGAGGGAGGGGGCGTGTCAGACCAGAGAGGGAGGGGACGTGTCAGACCAGAGAGGAAGGGGGCGTGTCAGACCAGAGAGGGAGGGGGCGTGTCAGATCAGAGAGAGAGGGGGCGTGTCAGACCAGAGAGGGATGAAGGTAGTCACTCGCACTCCACAAGTATTAAAGTCAATACTGTTTATTGACTGTGATAACACACATCTCCTTAGCAACGTTTCAGGATCGTGTGGCCCCTTCCTCAGGCAAACAGAGAGAGATGGAGGGGGCGTGTCAGACCAGAGAAGGAGGGGGGGTGTCAGACCAGAGAGAGAGAGGCGTGTCAGAAGTGTCAGACCAGAGAGGAAGGGGGCGTGTCAGACCAGAGAGGAAGGGGGCGTGTCAGACGTATTTTGCAGAGATTGTTGACTCCAAATAAATGAATTAGGATGAGTTCAGGTTTGGACTGAAACCGGTCTGATCCTGAGACCTCTGAACCTGGAAGTTCCATGATGCCGTCCACCCAATCAGCTGCAGGTCGGGGCATTCTCCAGCCCACAGCTGCACCTATACAAAGAGGCGGGATCCTTCTACTATCATCATTCACCTGATATGGCCACATATTGCTTCAACGTCTCTGACCCAATAAAGCCATGTGTCCATATAAGGTCAGTGATGTCACTGCATCCCGCCCCTTTACTCATGCGCAGCTGTTGGCGGAGAACTCCCCGGCGCAGCTGATTGGGCGGCAGCAGAAGTTCCTTCCATGTTCAGAGGAGCTCATCCCTGTGAATGGAATGTCCCTTAGTAAATGGCGAGGATGCAAAGTAAACCTGTCCCTGTCTTGTTGCAGGCCCGCGTCCTCCGCCTCCTTATTAACGGACCGATGGGAGGAGTCATGTGACCTGACCAATGATGTGTACATACCGCTGATCCCTGGGCCAATCAGAGTCCATCATTTCATAGAGACTGTCCGATATCTGACCCCACCGCCACCAATTCCCCATCGTCTGCGGGTCACTGAACAAACCTCCGTCATTTCATAGAGCAGGCCGCGCTGGGATTTGTAGTTCCTCAGCGGCGGATTTGCTGTGATTGGTTGTGAATTTCTGTGTTCAATAAAAGTCCAAATTCTGTGATTGCCGAAATCAGGAAAACTTCCCGAAACTGATCCATTGTACCCCGATCTACAGGAAATAAAGATGTTACATCTGACCTCCGGCCTCCATTCAGTCTTCTATCTGACCTCCGTCCTTCCCTTCAGTCTTCTATCTGACCTCCGTCCTCCCCTTCAGTCTTCTATCTGACCTCCGTCCTCCCCTTCAGTCTTCTATCTGACCTCCGTCCTCCCCTTCAGTCTTCTATCTGACCTCCGTCCTCCCCTTCAGTCTTCTATCTGACCTCCGTCCTTCCCTTCAGTCTCATATCTGACCTCCGTCCTTCCCTTCAGTCT